CATATGGCAGACCCGACCACATTTTCACGCTTTTCAGCACACGTCTTTTATTCCAGTTGTCGTTTTACACAGACGGTTGCAGCTTTTCAGCTGCCAGCCACACAATAACAACACACTCAGGACCCCGTTTAATCCTTTTAAGCTGGCAAGGCGTGATTACTGATGCCGCTCAGGTATGTCCACCTCCCCCGCCAGCCGCGCCACAGCCCACACCCTGCCACACAGCCACTCTGTTAAAGATTTCCCGCTGTGCATGAGACCCTTGTCCTGTAGCATGATGTTGTTCGTTATAGCCAAACATCTCTACTTTGGTCGCATCTGTCCAAAGTTCAGTGTTCCAGAAGTCTTGTGGTTTGTTCATAGACGACTTTGCAAACTTAAGCTGTGCTGCCACATTCTTATTAAAGAGAAGAGGCCTTCTCCTGGAAACCCTTACAAATAAACCATCCTTCTTTAGTCCCTTTCCAATTGTGCTGTCACGAACTTTAACATTTAACATGCTAAATGAGGCGTGTAGAGTCTGAGATGTAGTTTAGCGTGGGGTGAATTTCCTGGGACGTCCACTACTCCTGGGTGGGAAGATTGTGGCATTATGTTAACACACCAGAATGCCCCAGACCAGCAAAAAGCCAAAGCTGTTTCACTGCTACTAAAGCTCAGATTATGGGCTAGCAGCGGTAGCATGTTGGTGGTCCAGTGGTACTGATACACTGTGGTCTACCTGCAGAGAATTTCATTAAACAGTGTCAACAGACGCAGAGTACAAAGTATGTTGTACAACTGGTCTGCGGGCTACTCTTACTTGTGCTGTTGGTGGTTGATCAACCAGCCATGGAAAATAAAACTAATTCGTAACATACAAATGAAAACAAGTGTTAAAAACACGTGTCCACTGCAGCCACAGTCTGTACTGTTCACACTGTATTTTTGATTTTTCATGGTTTTTGTTTTTTGCTTTTTCTTGCGTCTCGCGTTCCTGCTGAACTCAGGACTACACAAAGGCACATTCACTGTGGGTGAAAACTCCTCTCTATGGAAATCCTCATGCAAATGGATACATTGGCAGGACAGTATTTTAACCCAAATTGTGATGTTTTCTAGCCAAATACCAAATGTGACTTAAAGTAACCAGTGACTGAAAAGGAAACTTAAAAATGGTGATGATAAATATCTGAAGTCAGTTTTGAGGTGGAAACAATCCCGTGTCATTTCAGAAGCACTTGAAAAATGTTTGTTTCACTTCACTTACGAACGCAGATAAGATCATGTAGTTGGAGGACTGGTTAGAGACATTTCCATGAACTCAATCAAGAAAGTAAAACTTTATTTGTCAGGACACCAATCTGACACCATTCTTATGAATTCAATTAATGTTAGCGTTTATTAGCAAATGTCAAACACAAAGCCACAAACATTACTTGTATACTGTGATTTCTATGGGAGTAGTACTGGTTTTCTTGTATTGCATTACTGCCCTGTTGTGAAGTTCCTAAATCAACCCAAATCATCCATCCGTAATCATTTTCCAGAACGGGGTTGTGAGCAGGCTGGCGCCTTTCCAACTGTCCATGGCCAAGAGAAGGACAGGGTCACCCCGAACAGACTGCCAGTCAATCGTAGGGCCGACTCAATACAAAATAAGGCAAATTAAACATTTTCAAACCGAACTGAAGAATAAGGCTTTTAAACCAATAAAAACTAATGAAAAATAAATAATTTTACTTTAAGGTTTAACTTCAACATGGATGCATCCATGTTCACCTTTTAGAGGTTTGTTGGATGGACTTCAGATTCAAGCCCTGGAGGTCAGACTGAAGTTCATTTAGGTTATGTGTGACATTTTGCTCTAGAAACCTTTTTAAACGGGTCATGTGACGCTTGGCTTTTCTGTATTTTTGTTTGTTCAAATTTTAGTTACCAGGATTATAGGAAATGTTATAAGTGAATTTACATTGACGTTTTTCCAATTAAGAAATGGTGAAGTTTTAGAGTTTCCAGGAATTTTTGGAAGGTTTCTCTTCCATTGAGAGAGGGGGAAAGATACATGACAAATTTAGATAACAGAAATTTAAGACATCATCTGGAAAACAAATCTCAGCCTCAAACATATGGAGAAGGTCTGGAGAGAGGTACAACAGTAAGTTTCTACAGCCGTCTGTAAAACTTGGTGGAGGCCAACGTTCTCACTCCCAAAGCCTAACATTTTACGCTAGGTGCAAAATCGTCACCATATTACGTTTTCGGCTACCCACCACGTTCCTAAATGACGACCTCGGAAAAGTGAGGAAATGTGAGAACCGTATGGACTCAATCTACACGTGTTTGCTCTTTTTCTTTAAATCGCTGAGAAACACGCTATTTAACATCATTACAGTCCTGGTTAAGATCAGTAAAAGGGTTATGGTTAGGGCTAGGGATAAGGTTAGGTTTAGGGCTGGAATACAGGGCTGGAACGTCTATTACCGCGGGAGCGTCATTGCACTGGATTTCAGCCATAACCCGCCGCGTACCATAAGAACGCCGAAGGTCTCCTTTCGCGTTCCTCAGGAACGCCGCGGGACGTGACAAAACGTCGGCATGTTACGCCTCGGGAGTGAGAACGGGTTGTGGAGGCTCTGTCATGGTTTTGGGCTGAAGACTAATTCCTGAAGACTACTTAAAGAAATGACAAAAGACTTCAATCCTACATTTTCCACAGGGTGTCTGTTTTCTTTAATATCTTCATATTTTGTTGGACATCAAAATCAATCAAGCCATAGGCTCATAGATTGTGAAACTCATTTCAGCCACATGGTCTTACATCTTAGCTGAGATGTTGCCTGCAAACTGGAACTTTTCTATTAGCTCCCGATCTATTTTCTTACCACTTATTCATCTCGGGGTGATTTATTTCACAATATTGGTGATTTAGAACAGGGCTCTCAGTTATCAGCTTACAGCACACGCTAAAGAATTTGCTTCAAAATGCCTCATCAATTAGCAACAACACAACCCATGGATGAATGAATCCTGTAGGTGTGGTATAGGCTGATCATGAAGCTATTGTTGCAGCGGCTCATCCTAAACTTCTGTAAGTGAATTAGTTAATTATACGTGACGCAAGAAAGGAGTGTGACAATGAAGGTGTAATCTGATTATGTGGTGACTTGGTGACCACAGCTATGCTCACAGCATGCTCACACATACTCAGAAACAAGCCTTTTGATTCATGTTTCTAATATCTCTGAAATGATGAGCATCCTGCTGGGGCTGCTTTCGCTCTTTCCAGAGAGATTTCATTTGTGATGAAAGTTTGAAAACGCTGCTAGGGGAATAACATTGACAAGAACTGAACTACTCACCCGGGCCTTTGTCAGTGCCTTGAGCCCCAGCCATTAAGCTATGTACAGGACCCCGTGTTTTGCTGAAGATGAAAGCCAACACTCCAATATAGAACAGGTGACTCAGCTTCCAGCTTGGCAGAGAAATCCCCCGAGACCTTTGACCTCCTAATCGTTTAGCAGCGCTTATGGTTGGAGATCTGCTCCAGGCTATTAGAGAGATTAGTGTCACACAGATCTGGGGATGGGCCAAGCCTATATCTGTACTTCATGGTATTCTCAGCATTTATTACTGAACACCCAACCCATGCTGAAACCTGATATATGTAGGTATAGTAGCACATACTGCAAAGTGAGGCTATATGTAGCCTATGTGTGGCATGTGTTGACCTATATGAGTGCTGAGCTGTATAATGAGCATACTGTTGATTAGAAAAAGGACATTTTTTGTGTAGTTTAAACCTCAACAACACCACTGTAGATGGCTGTAGTATAAATAGTTTTTCTTTTAACATAAGGTGTATAAAATAAGTACACGCTGACTAATGATATGTAATATAGCATGCACAAATTAAAATTAATGCAAGTTATTGTAAAGACGTATAAATGTGTAACAAATTGGACATTTCTTATTTTGAAAGGATGTTTAAAGAAATGTGACCGCCCATCTTTTCATTATACGGCATGCACTGGAAAGCAAAGCTAACAGCCTTCCCGGACAAAAACAATCCCTAGCTCATAAAGCAGATCGTCAAGCTGGATAAAGTTAGCCAGATTGGCACCGGAAGTTGACTAGCAGTTCTTTCAGAATTAGGGCAACCCTCCCACCAAAAATGTCAAAAACATTCAAAATACTAAACTACGTTTGTTTATGTGATTCTATGTGGTGGTGGTGGTGGTGGCGATATTTTTTTCTTATTTATACAAAGGCCATTAATAATAATGAAGTCTGGACCTCAACATTATTGAAGCAATGTGGGATCATCCATAGTGTAGTGGTTTACAAATTCACCAAACATGCTAAATATCCCCGGTTCGTTTGAGGGAAGAGACAGTAATCTCACAAATCCAGAGTCAAAATCTGCCAACTCAAAGACGTGGAGCTACCCACCGTGGCAACTCCTTGTGAATAAGGGAGCAGGCAAACGTAGCTCCTTGACAGAAAACAGAACAAAGGGCAGCCAACATCCAAAGAAGAGCTTTGAATGGTTTTCATAAAGCCTGGAAAACTATTCCCAAAAACTACTTCAAGAAATGACAAGAAAGCTGCCTAAGAGAGTTCAAACTGTATTGAAACACAAAAATACATCTTAAATCATGTCATTTTGAAACATTTTGAGAACTCTGTTAATTTAGGGGGCAGATTTTATAAATAATAATGGAAACAGTCACTTAGTACTCAGGATTTAAATAAATGTTCGTACCAAAGCCTCTTTTTACAGAATTTATAAAATTCATTTAAAAAGGACGTCTAAACATCTACCTAAAAAAAGGATAGGTTTTCTCCTTCGGTTGCGTAGTTTTATTTTTTATTTCAGTAAACTAAAATTTCTCTTTACAACCGTTTTAGTTCGTTTACAAGCGTAAACGCTGTGGTTTTTATTTTGAAAACCCTCGCTGGAAGCTCGTTGTATGAGCTGGGTAAGCCTAACAGGGTGCCAGTGACGCCATCTTGAAATCGTCCCGAGCAGAGGGGGCGAGGAGGAGACGGACTTGGGAAAATCAGCTCGTCCTAAACTCGACAGCTACGTGGATTAACGGCAGCTTCAGCGGCTAGTGCTATCATATGATAGTCTTTCCGCTTGTTCGTTCGAATCTTTTGGACCGGGAACGGTTGTTTGGCCCACTTTGGAGAGGGCTGTCGCAGCGGGAGGGGGGGAAAGGCAGTCTGGTAATCGGTTGTTTCCCTGCTGGAGCGGTCGGAGCCGTGGTTGTGGCCGGGCAGCCCAGCCGGACGAAGCCTAAAACCTCTGCACGGAATATAACACCTAAGATAAAGCTTTTAAATTCTTTTTTGCAAATAGCGGGAGAGTGGAAATGCTCCCTTTCGACGCAGTTTGGACATTTTGAGAGCTATGCGACGGAGCTCGCCGAGGAGAAGTTTGATTGGAGAGCGGAGTGCGTTTGATTTGCAGTCCGATGGATGTTAGCCCTGCCCGGCTGTGGCTCGGGTCTGTGCACCGTTTATCTGAAAAATAGCACTACCGGGCACAGGTGAACAATGCTGCTGTTGCAGACCTGGCAAGTACACGATAACTCCGGCTCCAGTGCCATCAGTTCACCCTGCATTGCTTGTGTATAAACCTGGAAATACCAGCGACCATCCCCTCCTCCTCCTCCTCTTCTTCATCATCCTCCCGTCTTCTTTTTTTGGACTAGTGAGGCTTGCATTACCTGGGATGTTTTGGATGTAGACTCGATCTTGACTTTTTTTTTTTAAAGATGCAGTATTTCCAGAGACAACAAGACATTTAATTTGACTCAATCGTTTTGAGATTTTTTGAAAAATTTTCTGGAGCTTTTTGTGCTTTTGTAAAATTCTCTTTCTAGTCAAGAGGATCCGATTCGGATGGAAAATGGGAGACGCCACCAAATTGGCCTTCGCCGTTTTCCTCATCTCCTGCTCTTCAGGTGGGTGTGGAGGTGGGGGGCTATGTATGTTGCGTACGGTCAGCCGTGCAGTGCATAGCTTGCTGTTATGTGTAAGGAGTGTAACCTCTTTTGGGGCATCATTGGCGTGCATGCAAACTGCAGGTGAGCCCCAAGATTGAAGGGGGGGTGTCAGAGGGCCCTTGAGTGGCTTCTTGTGGGACACAAGGGTACAAATTGGAGTTTTTATGAAGTTAATGAGGGAGCAGCCAGGGATTTGGTTTGATGGAGTGCAAATAAAAGGTAATCAGTCATGTGGCTTGCATGTGGCTTCTTTCTACATCTACATGCTAAAAGCCATTTTCAGCACTCTGTGTTGGTGGACGGCCATTATATGTAGTTATTTCCCCGCGGTGGATGTTTAATGAATGTCAGTGTAGTGATGATAAAGGAAAGAGAGGTCATCTCGGGAGTGCAGGGCATGCTGTTTATGTGGGCTACTGGGAGAAATGCTTCACACTTTACTTTTTTACTTGCCGGAGTATTCTGAGAGCAATTGTTCTTTAGGAAGAGAAGTTGATCACCTTGAAGTGTGTCATTTTAAATCTGCTCTTTGGGTTTGGTTTCATAGTACAAAATCCATTGAATTTGTTTTTTTGTTGTTGTTTTTTTTAAATGGAATGAGAATAATATAGTTTGCAACAAACATAAAAGAGGCGACAGACAAGCAATTATATAATGTAATAGATGATTAAAGGGTAAAAAGACGGAAAAATCACATGACTAAAAGCAAGGTTACAAAAACGTGTTTTTACAGGAAGTCACAGATTTTACGAGCCTTATCTGCTCAGGCAGGTTTTAGAAAGCCAAGGGCTCCTGATGGGAGAAGCACCTCCACTTCCTCAGGTGGGGCTCTTTCTAACAATGTGAAGTAGGTTATATAAGGGGTCAGAATTTCTGCTACTTGGCTTTAAGCATGAGTAGGAAAATCTAAAATGTACTTGGAGTCAGAGGATTGTACCAGTAAGAAGCTTCGCTGCTGCGTTTTGAACTGTTTGGAGGTGAGAGAGTGGTGTTTCATTTGCAGTAATTTAGCCTGGACAAAGCACAAGAATGAACCTTTTTCCAGCTAATATTTTGTTTAATTTTAATAGTAGATGTTATTTGGGAGAAGCAGGAAAGGGTAACTTTTCTAGTTCAAAGGTTAGAGCTGAGTACGTTTCTGACTGCTGGCTTTAGGGTCCTAGGACACCTTCAGAGTGGTTTGTGTGATTTGTAGATCAGGGAAGAGCATGATGTATGATTTATTTATTTATTTGATGCATTTAATTAAAGAGAAGTGTGTTTTAGGGATTTAAGGTATCTATTTAAAATCCATTTATCCTAGGGACAGCATATAAATAGGAACTATAACAGGACCCAAAATCGAACCTTGTGGTATGCCACAGATAATGCTCAATTAAAATGTTAAGTGGGGTCACAAAACTCCAGCTCTACGCTTGTTTTGATCCATCTCCAGCATTTATCTTTTGCCTGGAGACCTTCTCCTCTTAATCTTGCAAGCAATTAAACCTCAATACTGGTGGAAATATACACATAAATATCTAGTCCTAAACCCCTCTAGCTGGGAATTCAAATATTTAAAAAGCGTGAACAGGTCTGTTTGCTTTCACTCCCAATGCTGTTGGCTTCTGGCTTCATATCATTACTCTGACATGGACTTTATTTAAAAAAAAAAAAAAACAACTTTAAAAATATTAAAAAGAATTTAGCACTGCTGCCTGTCTTAGTTATTATAGAAGGACACTGTTTTTAATTTGAGTAATTTGTGTAAACATAAGTAGGTAATATGTATGCAACATAAATATTGCATACATATTAGGCTTATACATGCTATTATCATTGTGCTGATAATTTAAAAAGTAAATTATTGTTATTTTCGTTTTATAATTTGCAACAAAACATGACATAAGTACCAGTTATTAATAAATAAGTCACAGTAAAGGCATTGGATGTGGTCAAACGTAGTAAAGTATCTAATTTATGCTTAATAGACTGTCACTATCATTATAAACCTTCAAAAATGATTATTTTGATAGTAGAGGTTTGCAACCCCTGAAGAAACCAAGTGATCAAGTAAATCTAGAGTGAACAAGATTTTATAACTTTGTATAACTTGGCCTGGAGGAAGCATATAAATAGAAAATGAGATGATACCTAAAATTGAACCTTGCAGTTTACCACAGGTAATGTGAGCTGTAGACGATGAGTTAGTTTGACCAGAATCGGTTTATTCCAAAAGATTAGAGGAAACTCATACAAGCAAACACTTGTTTAGCACAATCCAGTCTCAAATGCTCCTGTTGGATCTAAAAAGAACTAAAATCATGATCTCCCCTGTGGTGTGCAATGATTTTTGACTTGTAAAAGCAAAATATTGAGTAGAAACCACTTTTTCTAAAGCTATAAACTGTACTGTAAGTCTTCATTGAACCACTTCCACCTCCCAAAATGAGCTAATATAGCCTCATATAAACCCTGTGACACTTCTGTGACCATGTGAAGTGTAAATACTTGTGGGGAAATTGACACAAGTTTCATAGTAGTTGAGGTTTTGGTGTTGCTAACAAAATAGCACTGCAGTGAGTTTAACTTCCATTTGCAGTTGTGTCACTCGATGTGGTTTGATTGTGGTGTGAGCCTGATGTAACTGGAGCTGACAAAAGAAAACAAAAATTAGGCCCAGAGGCAGAATTTCTTTTCCTGTTGGCTTACAGGATAAACAGAAAATGTTCTAACTTTACTGTTTGTGCGTGTTTGTGCAGCTCCACCGAACCGGTTTTCTCTACAGTTGCTGCCGGTTTACCAAATACTCAGTGTACCTGTGTGAAAGCTGCCCCAATTAACACCTAAGAGAAGTGTAAAATAAACCCTCGAGTTGCAGCAGAATTGTACTTTCACAGAAATCACCCCCCACCCCCACCCCCCTGGGGCGTCTTAAATTAAAAGGTTTCTCAAATATGGTAATAGTCGGGGTTGGTTGGAGTTATAAGCCAGGTGCTGCAGGTGATTATTCCACTCACTTATTACTGTCTGAAGTGGGGAAATGAACTAGGTGGAATAATAATCCTCAGTGAAATCGGAGTTGAATTGGCACAGCTCAAGAAAAACCTCTGATAAAGGCAGGGCACTTGGCCCAGAGTGGCTTTTATTTGATGAACATGCCAAAAGAAATGAACAGAGAGAGGTCTCTGTAGCTTTTCAGTGATGTTCAATATGCACCTTTAACCAGCTTCAATTCACTGTGAGATGAAACAGAGAAGCAGCTTAAATATTTATCAGAAACTTATTTGGCAGTAGGGGAAACAATCAACTAGTCTGCTCACATAGCCTCTGAAGACAGCCACCATTATTTCAGGACTTCAAGTGTGGACATCCCGTTCTGCCCGCGGGCCATTTAAAAACCAAAATCAACGTCTGACGATAAGGGATGGTTTTGATGTTGCAGTTTTGGGAAATATAATTTGTGGACTCAGCCGAGGCATGTTTGATGAGTAGAGGTCCAAACTGTAGCTGCCTGGTTATGGCAAACAGTCAAAATCCCCATTGTTTAGCTCCATGATGCAGTGGTTAATACACTGGCCCCACACGCAGAAGGTTCTTTGTTCAAAACCAGGTGGAGTCACAAATCCTAGTGAGTCTGTAAAAATCGGTGCCGAATCACGTATGCTGTGTGAATTGGAGAGCAGCCGGAAGAAAGTTCCACTTGGGTGTTGGGGAAAAAAAATAGATTTATTAAACCTCAACCCAACCACAGTCTGAATGGGAGTAAATCTGGACTTTTAGTGAAAGCAAAAGTTTGATATCAAGCATCTGTAATATAAAATTACATCTTGTTTAATTACATTTTAAAGAAAAGCTTCTTGATTGTGGTAAAAAATCCCAATCAGTGGTAAGATTGTCATTATTTAACAGTGCGGTTTTTTTTCCAGAGACATTGGAAAAATAGGTCAATCATTAAACTTAAAAAAAAAAAAAAAAGAAAGTTGCCTTTTTTATTTAAACACAAACTTTAATTAGAATTTAAAAGAAAATAAATCAATGTGAACTTGACAAAAAGCAAAATTGGCAAAAGAGATGTGCTGAAAGGCAGAACGAGCTTTAATGCAAAACAGAATGTGGCCAAATAATTGTTTTTATCGCGATCAGCCAGTTTTTTTAATAATCATTGAAAGCCAGAATTGTGTTGAAATTGATGAATTGCACAGCCCCAGTAGAAATGTAAGAGAACAGCAAATGGGAAAATGTGAAAGCTGCAAAGAAATGGAGAAGGGCATACATTTTGCCCTCTAAATTTATTTCAGTATAACAGCCTTCTAAAAACAAAGATGTGGCATCCTACCCCAGATTAAGCAGATAAAAGATAAACTGTTAAATGACAGAGATTGACTTTTTTTTTTATCTCTTTGTTAAATACTATAGAAATTTGTGGTTTTACTGCAATGCCACAGTAAGAACGAGACTTTATCTGTGGATATCTTATTCTTGAAGGACTGAGTCCAGGTAATGAGCTGCAGATGCTTTTTCTTTTCTTTTCTTTTCTTTTCTTTTCTTTTCTTTCTTTCTTTCTTTCTTTCTTTCTTTCTTTCTTTCTTTCTTTCTTTCTTTCTTTCTTTCTTTCTTTCTTTCTTTCTTTCTTTCTTTCTTTTTTTTTTACACATTTATTTATTAAAGTTTAAGCTGCTGTCAGGTTTCTTTTATTCACTGCATCAGCTTTTCTGCCCTGTGTAGAAAAACCTGAGATGTAATGGTGAAATTTCACTTATTTGCCAAAGGACTTCTCAGGGATTAAATGTGTGTTTAAACTTCTTTACACTTGAAAGGAAGGAGAACAACGTGCAACTATGCTATATGTTGTTATGCAATAGTTTTACTGGTCCAACCCACTGACAATAAACACTGAGCTGTATGTAAAAATGCTGCTGTAAAGAAGAACTGAGACATGACTAAAACAGGGTTTTTGGGGGGATTTTTATACTTAA